CTTCATGCATTACTCTTACTAATGAGTGATACTATGGCTGGGAGAATATTCTATTTGATAGGTGACGTGTGTACTGGTATTGTTGAGCAGTTCTTGTATAAGCTGAGCATGATGAGTTTGTAGATCTTCAAAGGTCCACAGAAGGAGAGTGTTTTCATGCTGAAGGCTAGAGCGAAAGGGTCGAGATGCTCTTCGACATGAATGCTCATGTAGATATCACATATCACACTATAGCCGCAGATTCGCCTGGGAGCGGAGCAGACTTACTGAGTGTACGGAGGTACTATTCGGCACATTTATGTTCTACTTTTTTTTACACCGGGATTCATATGCACATAGTCCGAGTTATCGCGACTTTTTGCCCGATTGAGCAGCTGCCGCATACCAGGTGAGAACTGTTTGACGTCGACATTATCGGCTAGTTCGTCGGCAAGCTTCCACTCGCCCCTCCGAATTAGCTGTTCCATGAGCTTACTCCAAACCCTCCAATTTGCAGTATTTCCCCTCTTCGCTTCTTCGCGCTTATGCATTCGGTAGTACACCATCGCGCGCTGCATCGCCTCGGGTGTCGGATTTTCGCAGCACGCTTGAATGACAATGAGAGTGTGGGATGTGGGCCTGAATGGGCTGCGTTGGTGCTTTTCCATCTTTCCGATGACTACGTGTCGGTAGCGAGCAGCTAAAGGCGAGCTACGCCAGACTCTGCGTTCGATTCCGCACAGGACAGTAGTAAGCATATACCACTGATCAGACGACGGCAGCTGCAAATTGCGCGTCTCCATGTGTTCAACGAAGGCGAGGGCAGCGTCGAAGGCGTTGTCGTCCTCTGAGCGTACCAGGTGTTCGAGGAGCGTCGTACATGTGGTGGTGTCGGCGGTGATGCCACTCTGGCGCAAGAGAGTTATGGCAAGCTGCGGAGCGTCTTCCCGCGCCGAGTGGAGGGCAAGTAACAGAATCGACGCGGTATAGATGTCCGCGTCAATCCCCGAAGAGCGCATCTCCTGCATAATCCCGGAGATCGCGCTCAGGTCCTTGCTTCGGCTATGGTGCTTCATGAACACATTGAACGAGGCAGCGTCCGGTTTCGGGCCCGTCTTCTTCATTCTGCCCAGGATCGCTCGAGCTTCTTCAAAGCGGGATCGTCCGAGCAGCCACTCGAGCACCGTGTTAAAGGCGGATAAGACCGCGGAATCGCTTGAAGTGTTGGATCTCTCGCAGAGATTCTGCTCGAGTCTTCCGAGTTCCGCCAGCGCATCATCCGGGCGTCCTTGTCGAAGCAGAGCATTGATGTATGCTTGATGCACGGCTACCGTAGGTGTCTCTCTAGGAACAGTGAACACCTTCCAAGCCGCCAGTGCGCGGTCGAACCTCTTCAAGAAGGCGTAGCCTTCGATGATAGCGGCTTGAACGAGCGGCGGCGTCTTCCCGCTAATCTTGTTCATACCTGCCCAGAAGCGTTCTGCAGCTGCCAAGTTGCCAGACCGTATGAGGCTGAGCATAAGGAACGCCCAGTGCTCCTCGGTAAACACAACGAGGGGGTGATCTGACGCGGCGGCTGCGGCAGGGTCGAGAGTGAGACACGACCCGTCTGCTGATAGTTCGTCGATAATGCTGTCAGCGTAGTGTACGAGTGACGAGATAGCAGTTTGGTTGGTTGCAACTTGGGCAATGTACTTCCTATAGATTTGTACGGGTAGCATGGATTTCTCCAGATTAGAAAATCTCGTTGCCCAGTCCACAAGTTTTTCTTTCGGTAGTCCAAGCTCGTTCGCGGCGACCACGGCCTCGATTTGCAGGGTATGGAGATGGGTGTGGTATCCGGTGGATATGGCTAGTTGTAATGAGGGATAGAATAGATCCTTGATGAAACAGGCTGCGATAACGCGGACTAAGAACTTCACATGCACACTATGCACGAGCGGGCCGGAATTCGTCGCAATAGGACTGAAATCGTCTTCAGAACTTCGTGTTGACAGGAGGGAAATCTGAGTATTGCGAATGGTTACCAAACGACGAAATTTGAGCGCGAGTTCAAGTGCAGGGTTAGGGTCTCGACGCTTGAGATACCAGTCCATCCGCGCACACACACCGCGAAAGTAGCCGATGGCGGCGGTGTGGGCCGCGAGATCGTCCAGCGCGGAAAGTACATTTGACTCCACGTCGTCCGAATATTTGTCAAGGATATCCGAATAACTCCTAAAACACCGCCGTATCTCCAACGTACTAGGGGTAATAGGTCGCAGCTCTCGCAGCCGCCACCATAGCTCCGGGATCGACCTGAGGTCTCTCTCAAGCAGAGCTCTCTCTAGCCTGCCACAAAGTTTGATGACAAGATACCTATTCATTTCAAGAACCCCGACATCCTTGAGCACCGTGTCTACCTCTTGAGGGCAAACCGGCTCGGAGTCGCGTAGCCGAGAGGCAGAAGGAGAATGTAACAGATTCGACGAAGACGCTTCAGTCATGTCGAGACGCGTGAAATCTGTATGTTTGAATCGTGTTTGAACCGCATGGGTGGTGGATGTACGAAGACGCGAACCGGCAGGCGCTGCCAAGGTCCACGCCCAAGAAGTCGCTCGGGC